AAAAATCCCCCCCCCCCCCCGAAAAAAAATCACATTTATTAGAAAAGGAGCCGCCTCTACCCCCTTCCCACGATAGGAGATATGACATAAGCCAATTTCTTATAATTTGAGGATAGTTTCAGAGTTTTGGCGCCAACAGAGGCTATCACTTGCGGGATCAAATAAAAGTGGCAGAGCGCGCCTCAAAAAGTTTCAGGGTATCTTCAAAAGAGGCAGGGGGCGACTCCAATAGTGGCAGGGGGATCCCAAAAAGGGCAGGGCGCCTCTAAAGGGGCAGGGGTGTCTACAAAAGGGGCAGGGGTGCCTCAAAAATTGGCAGGGGGCCTCCAAAAATGTCATGGGGCGCTTCCAAAAGTGGCAGGCGGGGGAGGGCCTCCAAAGGTCACGATATTGCTACACCTATGAAAGACCCCAAAGGTCACGATATTGCTACACCTATGAAATACTCCAAAGGTCACGATATTGCTACACCTATGAAAGACGTTAATTGAGATGCTTAATTCACATCTAAAAGGAGAACAGCCCGCTTAACAGTGCCTCGTCATTTGCCTTTAGTTCAATCCGGCACTGGTTCGTCCTATGCGCTGACGACATTCTATGTTTTGTCACATCTGTCTTAGGACATATTAGGAAATGTCACGTTTACTCTAATAATACTAATCATAATTTTATAATTATTATTATTATTGATTTTATATAGCGTGGTAACCCAGCCTATTGCTGGGCTCAACACGCTGTACATACAATTTAACAAACATAATAAAAAAACCTTTAAAAAAAAATAATTAACATGCATTAGTTAAATTAAACAAACTAATTTATATTTAAAATTGTTTACATGTCAAGCCATGGACGACACCCAGCAACATCGTTTTTCGGTCAGGGGTGGGAATCAGTCAGGATAGTAGAGTTTAAATAGATGTGTTTTGATTGCAGTTTTGAAGGCTGTGATGGTCGGTATATTGCGGATGTGTAGTGGAAGAGAATTCCATTGTTTGGGGGCACAGAAACAGAACGATCGTTCTCCGTATGTTTTTGTGCGAGTCTTGGGGACAGAAGGAATACGCGCGTCTGTGGAGGAGCGAAGCTGTCGAAGGGGTGAATAGACAGAGAGAAGTTCGGTAAGATAGGAAGGGGAGGAATTAGAGAAAAAAGTTGTGACAAAGAACAGAGAGTTTGTGGGCAATCTGTGTTTGCCCAGGGAGCCAATGAAGTGAATGAAGTAGTGGTGTGACGTGATCACGTTTTTTTTTTGCCTTTAGAATTAGCCTAGCGGCTGAGTTTTGAACCTTTTGTAATTTTTCTAAGAAGTGTTTTGGTGAACCTGATAGAAAAGAGTTACAATAGTCAAGGCGAGAGAGAACTAAAGCACAGACTAGGGTTTTTGTTGCACTAACTGTGTGGCATTGACAGATGGAGCTGCTCTGACTAATAGCGGTGTATGCAGAGCGACACATTTGAGAGATATGATTATCGAGAGATATGTTGTTTTACAGAATAAAACCAAGATTCCCGTTTACTCTAATGATAATCACGGGCGACTCTAATTATACCTACTGCTACTAACTTAACAATGGCATGCGCCTTATCTGGAGGCCAGAAAGCTAACATAAGTTAAACGTGAATTTACTTTGATCACAAAAAGTCCCTTGGTATCCAGGTTCGCAGCTGCAAGCACCGGTGCCAGGGTCACACCGGGCATCTTTACAATGGAGTGAGCATTTCTCGTAACAGCCCAAGCCGAACCTGCCAATGTCGCATCCTAGGTAAGGTAGTTAAATCAAAATGAAGAATTAGTACAGTGATTCCCAAAATGGGAGATACCACCCCTGGGGAGGGGGGCGTTGGAACGATACAGGCGGGGGGGGGGGGCGATAGTAACCTCGGGTGCATAATAGATATTTATCTTTTCTGTTTGTTCGATTAAAGAATGAATATTTCAGGGGGCCCTGAGTAGTTTTTTTTTCTTCTGAAAAGTGGGGGGTAGGCCAAATATGTTTGGGAACCTCTGACATTAATACACAANGGGGGGGGGGGGGCGATAGTAACCTCGGGTGCATAATAGATATTTATCTTTTCTGTTTGTTCGATTAAAGAATGAATATTTCAGGGGGCCCTGAGTAGTTTTTTTTTCTTCTGAAAAGTGGGTGGTAGGCCAAATATGTTTGGGAACCTCTGACATTAATACACAATCTTGTGTTTAATATCTGTGAGTGGCAACACTGACTTTCGATCGTTATTTGTTCGTTTGTCGTCAGTTTTGATATCAGTGGCTGTAGAAGGATTGTAGTTTACATAACATAATGACATATGTACACATAATATACTTTTATTCGACGTCGCTCCGAATCATATGGCAGCTGTTACTGTTTCCGATGAATTTTATGGCAGCTGTTTCTGATGAATTATATGGCAGCTGTTACTGTTTTATGATAATTTATGTAGGCATCTGTGGCTGTTTATGATGAACTTATGGCGGCTGTTGCTTTTAGGATAATTTATATGGCATATTTTCAGGAGACTGCAAGTCAGCTTCAAGTGTGGCATGCCTCGATCCCAGGATTTCAACGAACCGGACGAGGGAAGCTTTCAAATTTCTCAGCAACAAGATGTTCCCAGTCAATGCCGAAGCAGTGGAAGGTAGAATGCATGAAGAGCTTCTACATTCTTGCTTCTTAATTTGAAGAAAGGTCGTACAGAAAGGTTGTACAGAAAGGTCGTACAGAAAGGTCTTACAGAAAGGTCTTACATAAAGACCGCATTGAAATTTATCTAGACTTAATTTAAAAAAAACGAAGACGACGATTGTGAAAATAATTGGGAACTGGATTCAGAAATGTGTAGACCAAATGTGAAAACATAATATATTAGAGCTTGTCAGAGTTTTAACTTTTACTGATGTATATTACTAAAAAAAAGTATGACTTATATTCAGATATTCAGATTGGGTGCTGGGTGGCCGAGTGGTCTAAACTGAGCAAATCTCAAGTTGGTGGTATGGAGTTCATTTCCAGCAAGAATCCACCAGCACCCCGGGTAGATGGGACCCGTTACCCTCGGATGGCAACTCATCTAAGAGAAGGAAACTCTGAAATCAAACCCGGAGATGGAGTCCCGAAAGGCGGATAACATTGGTACAATGAAACATTCCGACAACTCCTGCGACGTCACTGGTGCCAAGCTGTATCGTCCAATGATGTTCCTTTGGGTTATCCAGCGGCGTGGAGAGAGGCGATTTGCTGCTGGGAACCAGCTTTTAATCCTTGAAGAATAATCCCAGGCCATGCGGATGTCGTCCTCCGAAGCCTACTCCTTCGTCACATTGGGATGGACGGATGCCAGCAAATTAGTGCTCATCCATCCAAGGCTCGCAACCCCACATTTTTCACGCTCATGAACTTTATTAATATTCCAATGGTCCGCCCGCTTTTATAACGCAGATTTATTTCACCAACTATTTCCGAAAAACAATAGAAAAATATTGCACTGTAAACGCACTTGCGATATATTTTTTTTAATAATCTCATTTAGCACAGTTATCGGGAATTTCCCCCCTAAAAACATGAAAAAAAACCAACTGATTTCTGTGAGATGAGTTTTGGGGTTGGGCTGAACATTTAAAAAAACATGTGTTGTCATGGACAACACGTCTGTATCCCATGTGTCAGCTCGATAGCTTGACGGGAAGTTTGTCATCTAGCCGTCTGAAGACTCTACTTACCAGCCTGCCGCCAGCCAACCGTCCACCAACAAAAGTGAAGTTTTCTAAAGGATTTTAAAATTCACAAAAAGAAGTTTTAAATTTCCCACTAAAAGTCTTTCGACAATGTCAACGGACTGGAATAAAGAAGTCTACAACATTCAATTTTGATGTCTACAACGAAGAAAATTACTTTTGCTATTTGTATTTTAATTTCTTTACGATTGAAGTATGAATAATTGAAATAAATTTATAAAATAAAATAAAATTTAATATTTTAATTTTTAAAAAAAGCACATTTTTTATTATTTTAGTATTATTTTTTTTTTTACTGATGTAGCCTTATAATTGTTTAGGATATACATCTCGCCTAAACAAATCTAAATGATAAAATATTAATTTTGTATTTTTTAATTTGTCGATGTTGAAAATTGCATCCACAAATTGTGTGGCTGTACAAACAATCCTGGGAGAGAGTACATATTATAGTATGACAGAGCCTGTTATGCTTATTTGACAATACAATTATTAAATCTTTCGCCAGTGTCGATCTTCCTAGTAAAGACAATGTTTTTAAAAGTGGACATGACTTCAATCCAATAGTACATTAGTTGGTTCTTATTACAATATGGTTTGATGGATATCTATCAAAAGATACATCGATAAACAATCGAAATACCAACAGAGTGATAAATAGATAGCCCGACAGACTGACGGAATGACGGATTGGTGGATAGATGGATTTACGAGTGGCTAAGCGACCGGGCGGTGATACAGGGAGACTAACATAGAAAGACGAATAGATGGATGGAAAGTTGGAAGGATGAATAGACAGATACATTGACTGTAATATATTAGTTAAATACTATATAATGTTCTTTTTTATCATTATGGTTACGCGAAACTCTATATAGAGCGACACATGTTCTCTTTGCTGTCTGCTACTTTTTAAACACGTTGTAAAGTGTAGGCCTACGCTCTCTATTTGAAACAGTCGAAGATCTGAGGTGGACGTTATGATGATGTGATACGATCTTCATATCAGTGAATCCGTCGATGCCACATGGTTTTGAGCTGTACATCATATTTTCCCATAGTTATTTAAGCCAGTCCCTCGTCTCAAGATGATCGAGGTGGTTTAGTAGGAATCTCAAGTGAAGTCTCCTTTCCGTCGTTCCCGCAGGTCCCGAACACCTCATGGAATGTCTTTCTATATTTAGAACTCATCCTGTAGTAGAAAAGGATATCAACGCTGGAACTGATCGATTCGAACAGGTACGCGAAGGACCACGTGACAAAAAAGTAGTTCGTGTACACACCAATGACGCCAAACCCGGGCAGGACGTAACCGGTGAGCTTCAGAATCACGGAGGGCGCATTGAACACGATGAAGACGATGGCGATGGCCACCACCATGTTGATGGTCTTGCTGTCACGTGACGATATCGTTTCGGATTGTTTCGCGTCGGAGGTCGACGCCATGCGCCATTTTGTTTTCTGCTTCAGCTTGTAGCTCAAAAAGGCCGTGAGAAAAATGAGAGGGAAATAGGCGACGAATATGTAGATGAAATAAATGAGGAAGGTCAGCCCTTCGACTTCGGACCTTTTCGCCGTGAACACCAGCCCGAGGACCGTTCTGTTTCTTTCTTCGGAGAACTTCCAATCCAGATACGCGGTGAGGTATTCGGGTATCAGCGGGAGGATCGTGATGACCAGCATGACGAACAACGCAATGGTGGTTCGTCTCGGCGTGATGATTTTCTTAACCTTCAGCGGCGCGGTGATGCACAGACAGCGCTCGGCCGTGATGAACACGGTGATCCAGTTGGCGACGCGGGAGAAACAACCTCTCGGCCAGCCCCCGGTCAAGTGCTGGAACTCTGAGGGCGCCACAGGAACGTTAAGGTACTCAAACAGTGGGCTCACGCAGATGTCGAACCAGAGCAGGATGATGAGGCCGCACAGGTCCGAGACGGCCAGTCCCGTCAAGGTGATGTTGACGGTGTTGTTGAGGCCTTGCTTGTAGAAGACGACGATGTTGATGATGTTGGCGACGATGCCGAAGAGGCCGATGGCACTGCAGAGAAACACGTAGTTGATTATTTCAAAGATGCGCCTCGTATCGTGCGTCAACAAACCTTCGGAAGTGTGTTTCACCACTGCACCATGAACATCCACAATGAGCCTGGATGAGTTATCCATTCTGATAATATTAAAATCGCAAAAAACTGTTGTTGCGATTAACTAAACAAAAACCCACTAAATCTGTAAGAAGTCGAAGATAATAATGTTCAATGTGAAGCGTTGTTGTTGAGCTACATCCCAGATGTTAATGATCACAAGTCACCTCAACCTGACAAAGTCAGAGTTCAGATTAAATGATCACAAGGAACAGAACAAACCCGGGTGTTAATTCGCCATCATGTGCAATGTTTTCTTTATATCTCAGGCCAACTAATCGTTTTGAAACTGCGGTGATGGGCTTCTTATTTTAAAATCAGTTCGACCTTATTTTACACGAACAAAGACATTTTAAAAAAAAAATATGATGGAAATTTTGTTTCCACACACGCAGAATGATAACAGTTCTGTAACTGTAATTAAATAATTACTATAGATGACAGTTTAAGTTCAAATTTATAAATGGAGTAATCGACAGCTCGGGACGTATCATTCTTGTTATTGGAAGGCTAGAAAATTATGTACTTTGAATAATCAATGCGTCAAAGTTGTAACGTCCCCGTTAACTTTTAGAGCCTGTCATTACGCGTTGCACTAAGAAGCAAAGATTTCTGTTAGCATTAATTTGGGTTGCGAGGAATCAATGTGTGCGAATGATCTTAGATGCCAATATAACTTGAGTACGAACTATGATATTACAGAACCTTTGGCACACATATTAGATGAGAGATTACCCCATCTTCTCTGAAAAGTTCGATTACCGGCTCATCAAGCCATTTACCGTTCAGTTATCACACTTTTCAAACAGTGTTCTGGACTCAATATCAGTTGTTATTCTTTCGGTGAATCTGTTACAATTATTCCCCAATCACGAACTTATTAGTTAGTTTTTCGATATGTCCTAACAATCGTAACATATCAGGGACTGGTGAATGTGTTCAACTGTGGTGGAATAATTCAACCGGCGGTTATACTTTATCAAGATGTCCAGAAAATGGACTGAAGATTGGCTGTACCAATCTTAAATGTAAAAATTCATTTTTTTCATAATCTAATCCAGTTTCTTCAGGTGAATTTCATCCATTATTTTTTCGTGCTGAACACAATACTTTTTTAAATACTAACATCATCAAAACTGAATTATTACGAAAAGACACATGTGTATTACAGCATTGCCATCTTGTTTTGTTTAATTTAGAACTATGTTTGACTTATAGATGCTACACATCTCATTTGACACTAGAGTGGCTCTTAATCGCTGTCGTCTTTAACAATGAAGTTTATAATTTGCATATTTTGGTATATCAGATTCACGGAGTTTAATGCTCTGAATTCTCAAAACACCGGACACCCTTTGTGTGTCCCGCTGTACAGTTTTAACTGTGTGAATCTCATGATCATAGTCATAACAATTTATTCCTTAGACGCTTTCGTAGAGTTTGCTCATTTTCAACACAAGGTTTGGCTAGGCCATGTTTCGTTTGACTTGCATTCATGCCAAAATCCTCTCTATGCGTGATGTACACAACTGAACAAGTTAAATTTATTTGATAACGTTCTCCAAGCAAGACCAGAATCACGACGTATTTTCTAGCATTGAGGCGTGTTTCTTTGGTTAGTGGTCACAGTTTCATGCTGAAATGTCTCTTTTTAAGTCTTAGAAGTCAGACACGCGTAAAGGGAGACCCAAAAAAAAAATAAAAAATAAAAAAAGAACCGGTTGATTCAACCATGCATAACTAAAGTCTTGTCTAATAAAAGTTGGTTAATGGGTAACTCTTCTTGGAAACATAGTTTTCTTATTTAATTTTAAGAAAGCTCCATATTTAATAATGTTAAACTATTGTAAATATAAAATATTATTCGTAAGTCGCATTCTAAGCAGGAACATCAAATGATAATTCATATAAGCGGCAATATTCTTTGACAGCTTTCAATGTTGACAATTTTTTTAAAGTTGTTTTTGAACCACTTCTATCAACGACTGTTTTTTTATTTTTAAAATTGACTTCAAAATACTATAATTATTCTACATGTACTCATTCTTGGTAAGCTCGATGTGGACATGTAAAATTGTAAATCAGCCATAGTCTTATGCAATTTTATCTTTAACTTTAAACATTCAGTTGTGTTTATTAGTATTTGATGGACTTCAATGTTTTTAACTTGAACACATGGCTGCTCTTTCAGAATTGTGGTCATAATAATAATAATAATAATAAATACACACGCATGCTATACTACCCTTAATAATATAGAAAAAACATGTTATATCATTTACAGGGGCGTATCAGGATAAGTGCCACTCGGCTCGGGCAAATATGTTTGCCGTCACTCTCTTCTCCGTGAAAAATACTGCAGTTGGCCAAAAACGCTGCTCATCTATGTAAAGAAAAAAAAATGCCATCCGTTGCCGTTAACGTGCTAAATTTGGTTAAACTCAAGTCCAGTGGTATCTAATAGATGACCCTATCGGTATATTAAACACAAATTTTGCAGGCCAAACGGAATTAAGATCTCAGTGTCTACAATGGAAATAGAGATTTACTCCTTATATCAACTTAGTTAGCCCTAGAATTGTTCAGATTACATATGCAGAGCATTTGAATCCACTAAGTATTTAACAAGATGAATGTGTCAATGACAAAATGAAAAAACCAAATCACTAGCTATGACAAAATAAAGAACTCAAAACCTAAATATGACAAAATAAACAACTACATCACTAACTATGACAAAATCACGACTCAAATCACTAGCTATGACAAAATTAAACAAATCAAATAACTACCTATGTCAAAATGAGCAACCCAAATCACTAACTATGACAAAATGTAAAATTCAAATCACTAACTATGACAAAATGAACAACTCAAATCACTAGCTATTACAAAATCACGACTCAAATAACTAACTATGACAAACTCAACAATTCAAATCACCAGCTATGACAAAATGAACAAATCAAATAACTAACTATTACAAAATGAACTACTCACATCACTAACTGTGACAAATAAAAGATGCTAATCACTAACTATGACAAAATGAACAACTCAAATCACTAACGAATGCGTTTCTTCCATTTTTTTTCCCTTGGATTAATTTAATATTATCTTGAACGAGATCGGCGGCAGAACAGTGCTGTATTTAGCTGTCATTGTTTCCATTGTTATTGCCAATCATGTGAATACGTCCAAATAAAATGTTTACACTTTTTCAATGAGATATTTAAAGCTGCCTTGGGGATACACCCCTCCCCTACAACTAATTCCTAACTGAGGTATCTTTGTATAATAGATTTTGAGGGGTTAAATTAGGTCACCAATGTCATCAACACAGATTAGAAGTAACGCAAAAGAAAAATAAACCAAAATAAAATGTAAATAAATGCTAGAAAAAATTGTAGCTATCATCATGGGGGCTGCTTAATTTTTAATTTTTTGATGCTGCTTTAAATACAAACTTTGTGTATTGTAATTGCGATAAAGTTTGAAACTTTCCATTATAAGACCCGGGGAGACTTAAATTGGCCTTCCTTTACGAGCTGTCTAAACTATCTCAAACAAAATAGCTGGTGGTCTGGAGTTCAATCCCCGCCAAAGCCAACATCCCAAGCACCCGGGTTGGATGGGACTCGCTAGCCTTGGACGGAAACACATCTAAGAGAAGGCAAACTCTGAATTTAAACAAGGAGCCAGAATGATCAACTAATTAATCGTGGCCCCCTCAACTATAAGAAGAAGAAGAAGAAATGTGTGAGCCTGTGACAAGATAACAAAATCAGCCATTAAATGCTTGACACAAGCACGTTCATTGGGAAATAAGCGTCAAAGTTGGTTAGAGAATATTTGTTTTAAAACACACCTGTTAGTCTTTAATTCTACCAGCTACAATGAGTTATATCATCTGGGACGGAAGCTGTGTGTATAAATTACCACATCCTTCATGTGTCATTCCCCACAATTTTTTTCTTTTACTCTATAGGTCATATGATAATATAGTTAAAAATGTGAACTCATTTGAAAATCATTTTTATTTAAAATTAAGTATTAGTGCATCGATAACAGTCCTGGGATGTCCGGGTATAATTGCTAGTAATATTTAAATATTTTTTAAAGAAATTAAACTCGAAACACTTATTAGTGGCGTTGATTTTATTTGTTTTAAAGTTATGGTAATCTTATAGGATGGAAATATTAAGTTCCTGTATTTAACAGTATTACATTTCCCAAGTCAAACTTAAGAATTTGAAAACTAGCCTGTGGAGAGTCTTGAATACATAATATATTTTAAGCTCTTATGCTCCTCGCTAACATTCTTAGAGATTTAATTCATTGAAGTACCTGACTGACCGCACATCTAATTCAACAACGGACACAAGTCCCACATTTAACATTTGATTACTTTTCAACGGATAAAAATCAGTAATTAGTCTTAACCTCTCATGGAAACGTGGACCAAACTATGATATAATAAAATCTTTCATTCTTTTTACAAGACTCTTTTTGTACAAGTTTTCATCTGAATAATCATCAGTCACTTACACAGGCCTTTAGGAGCATTGTACATTTGCGGAGTTTAGTATGAGACACACAACGCTTCGTTAAGTGTGTCAATAGTCCTAAACATATCATAAATAGGAGAGGAATACATTTCTTTGGCAACTTGAGACATCTACTCTGTCATGAGTATACGTTTCTTTTGGTATTGGCAACACAACACTAGCAACACATCAGTAGCAACACACCAGTAGCAACATATCAGTAGCAACACATCAGTAGCCACACATCAGTAGCAACATTCCGCTCACTCTGATTCAGATTTTGTAAATAAAAAAAAAACAAAAACAAAAAACTAGAAATCCCGCTAGTGATAAAATTTATATAATTTTCTTTTCTTTACCAGGGAATCGCTTATCATTGGTAGATATTCCGACTACGCAACACTTGGGACAGTGAACATTTTGAAATTGAAACTTGGTTGTGATAAGGGTGGTGTTCGTTAATTCAAAGCTTTTAATAAGCATCATTTTAAAATTCCAGACGGATAAACGAGTGAAATATTTTAACAACAAAAAAAACTCATAATTATAGTGTACCAATTAATATAATCAAGCCATATGTTAAATATATGAATTTAGATGAACATCTTAGTTTCTTAATGAGAAAAAGAAGATAAACATTTCAAATACTTTTCAAATTTATCCTAATTCTTTGAAAATACCAATATTTTCTGAAACCGTTTAAACATCAAAAATAAATTGAGCGTTCCCCCCCCCCCATTTCTATATC